GTGAAGAGGTCACTTATGCTTTCACAGCTGCAGAAAAATGACATTCACCCTACCTAGCAGCAAAATCTGGATATTTTTTTAGAGATTTTATTAATATTTGTAGGCCGCCCTTTTCCCTGAGGGGACTCAGGGCGGCTCACATAAAATCGGGGAAGGGGAATACAGACATTAAGATGATAACTTTCCCTTATCAAGTCTCTTTTGCACTTATCTTTAAAAAGGTTTAAAGGAAGTTATTCACATTATTAATAAAGGATTACTAAGATTTCAAAACTAAGGTTACAAAGGGCTCTTTGGGATTTACAAAGTTCTTGTTAAACCTGCAATTAGGACAAATATTAACAAAGTGTTTGAGACTTCTTATTCCTGCACAAATTTACTCAATCTATTAGAAGAGCAAAAGAGGTTTGTCTTTCAGTCATTGTGTCCCACCTGGATTCTGTGAAACTACACCAGTATCTTCACAGAAGGTAGATTTCTCATTGGCTCCCACTTTGTAAAATTACTTTTGGCCTGAACTTAATCTAGCATCATTTTTCCCCCCATTTCCTGGTTGTGGCTTTTTCCTCTGCTTTTTGCTGGATTTATTCAGTTGATTTATTAATTAGTACTGATACTTCTGATTGACTGATGTTTTAAAATGTATTCTATCTCTATTAGCTGTGTTACGTGCATTTTAAATACATACAAAAACCTGGAGTAAAGTACTTGAAATAAAGTACAATGAAATAGGTGGCCTGGAGAACAGAGGGGTTTTTTTTTCAAGCTTTTAGTGATCAGCCTTGCCTTTTATGATGATCACTCGAAATGTTTTTGTAGACTAAGATTGTATTACTCCATGGATGTTTACCTTTGAGGAAAACCTCTTGAATGAAATGAAACTTCTGAAGAGAGACATGCTTTGATCTGGAGATAACTAAAAGATATTTAGGTAAAGGAGCAAGTACTGTTCTTCCCTTTGGAAACATAAAGAGTGAACAATTGCTGTAATCTGTTTTTATGATTATAACATTCCAAAACAAATTTTGGGTGGCGCATTAAAGTAATTCCTGTATTACTCCTTATTCTACGACAGATACCCTTTGTTTATTAATTTTCTAGACAGCTTCCAGATGATATTATAATCAGATTGATGGACTCCACTATTTCTGTGTTCCCCAAGTTCTTTATTCTATAGTCTTTATTGCCATTGTATATCATGTATACAGTGGAATTGGTTTTAGCCTCACTGGTGCAATACAATGACACTGGTGCAATGACAACAAATACAAACAACATAAATAGCATAAAGAATAATCCCTATGCAAGTAATTTGGGGGGGAGGGGGAGATAAAGAAAGAAAAAGAAAAATTAGTCATACATTTCCGCATGTGCATGGAGTAATTGTGGTTGTGTTTAAGAGTCTATTTTGTATTGAGCATGTAGCCATATAGATAACATAATCTTCCATTTCAATGTTATATATAAATGGTAGATTCCAATTGGCCTGAAATTGTAAATTCTTGCATTTAGCTAGCTTAAATGAGCATGTGTTTTTGCTATAAAATGTTTAATGTTTAAAATATTTTTTTTTAAAGAAGCCATTTCTTCAGAAATAATGAGATTAATTTCTTTCAACTGTATGTTAGATATCTCCAAAGAGGATAAAATTGCATGTTTAAAAAAATGGGAATCCAAATAGAAGACTTGCAGAATTTTTCAAATCCACGTTGATCTTTAGGACTTCTTCACAAGACTAGGATACAAATATAATAGCAAGAGCCTGAGATTGTTTGGAGTTGAAAGAAATGAATACATTCATAAATAGCAATAGCACTTAGATTTATATGCCACACCATAGTACTTTAAACATTCTTTGGGCAGTTTACAATATCAGCATATGGCCTCCAACAATCTGGGTCCTCTTTTTACTGTCCTCAGAAGGATGGAAGGATGGGTCAGCCTTGAGCGCCATCAGAATCAAACTCCATCAGACTCGAACTGCAATACTCCACACAATACTGTGGAGCAGAGTTTGCCTGCAATACTGCATTGTAACCACTACACCATCAGGGCTCCTCCAATAATTCAAATAATTTTAAATTTTAAATACGATTCAGATTAGTGTACAACAGAGGCCTATGTTCATCAGATTTATTATACCCTACCATGTCCCATTCAATCCAAGATTAAACACCGTTTACAAAAAAACAAAAAAAGAGGGAGTCTGCATCTGAGATAGCATAAGAATAGAAAAGTATTTTTTTGAGTTGGAAATGTGAAATGTGTATGTATGTGCATACTCCGCTGATGAAATCTAAATGCTTCTTATCTATAAGTTGCATTTTTCCATAGCAGAAGATCCAGAAACGCGCAGGTTACGAACTGTCAAGAATATAGCTGACCTTCGGCAAAACCTAGAAGAGACCATGTCTAGTTTACGAGGAACTCAGGTGTCCCATAGGTAAGAGACACATTAATTTTATTTCTTTGCAAGGAATAGAACTACACTTCCCATTCTTTACTCTCTATTTCTGAAAGATTATTATGAATGACTAACGGCAAAGATTAATTTGACTATACACTGCACTTCATTATTTTTATTTTACATGAAAAACTAGACTCTGTACCATATAAGGGCATAACTGAGATTAATGAAAAGTAAGTTTAGGAAGTGGAAGAAACCATATCAGAGAGGGCTGCATATAAAGGCTGAGTCTTAAAAAAATATTAGTTAAAAATTAGTTAAATATTTTAAGGCGATGTTTGAATAGAAAGGTGCAAAGGTTACTTTTTTAAAAGTTACCTAAGTTTACTTTTGAAACTCTTAACGTATTTTAACCAGATCTACATTATTGTGTTTAAACAAGCAGCTGAACTGCATTTGACCTGTTTGATAAGACACATAGTTTGAATTCCTACCTGGCCTTTGGATAAACAAAGCTTTATAATTCTATTAATGAGGTATGCACGGTCATATTTTTAAAGCAGTGAAAAATATTCACTAGTAATATTTCAAACAGAAATCAGAATTGTCTATTGTTGCATTATAGCACATAATAAAATTGCCAATTTAGCAATCAGCTAAATGCTTGGAAAGAAACCACATCAAAGAAGTAGCATGATTCAACTGTGGAGTTTTACTTACCCAGACACATATATTTCATCCAAGCCCTCCTAGTTTTTAAATAATACAATCAGAATTCCAAAAATATAACAAACAGAAGACAAAATATGAAAAAGCCATCAGTAACTTAATACAACTAAAAAGTCCTTAAATCCCACCTAAAACTTGAAAGCTCAAAGTCAAATAGTTTTCTCAGAAGTAATATATCCAAAGATACTTTCTGCCCTAACTATGAAAAAAAGAAAAGAAGCTTTATATTTATACACAGTCTAAAATGAATTCACTGTTGGAAAGGCTCCCTAACAAGTTCAGTTTGCTAGGTTTATTCATTAAAGTTCCACAGCCATTTATTGTTTTAGAGGAGAATTCAGCACTGTACAGAGCATTGGTAAATAATGCAATTATTAACAATAAATAGTTATGACTGACATCTTCAACCAAAGGTCCTCAAGGAAACACCATAACACAATTGCATCTAAGATGTAAAATGTATTAAGTGGACTTCTGTAGTTTGCCTTGACCAAATGTGTTGCAGGTCAACAGGTCAAATGCAGTTCTATAGCCAAAATTTAATGTTCCTCCATCCCATAGTTTATTAATAAGATTTTAAAAAAACCTTTTCTTCCTTTTCTTTCATCCCAGATATGTAGTATTTAAATATTTAAATAATATATTCCTAACATTTGCTGAAATGTATTACATCTTGAATCTTTTCCTATTTTAAGCACCCTGGAGACCACCTTTGATACCAATGTCACCACTGAAATAAGCGGACGCAGCATCCTCAGTTTGACTGGTAGGCCCACACCCTTATCTTGGAGACTTGGGCAGTCCAGTCCCCGCCTCCAGGCAGGTGATGCTCCATCAGTGGGTAATGGGTATCCTCCAAGAGCCAATGCCAGCCGATTCATCAATGCAGAACCAGGACGTTACATGTATTCAGCACCATTGAGAAGACAGCCAACATCTCGGGACAATAATGTTTGCCACATGGATATCACAGAAAAAGGAGGTGATGAAGTAGATCTTGAAGGAATCAACCTGGATGCTACAGGTTATATGAGTGATGGAGATGTCCTTGGGAAAAATATAAGAACTGATGATGTTACAAGCGGGTGAGTACAATCTAACCTGTTTGTTACTTAAAAAAAAACATTTTCTGCTTTTGAGATAAAATTAGTTACAGCAATTGAATTTAGTTTAAGCGGTGCAATATATTAAGAATATATTGGTTAAATATATGGTAGCTCATTGTGGTTATTGATGAGATAGTCCAGGTTTAGAAGTAAGGATCAGAAAAAAGAGCTAATGATGATAACAAAATAAAAGTAGTTTTTCACATAGACTTCTGTTTGGTAATAAGGTATGCATCTGATAGAGCAATATGATTGTGAAACCACTTGAAGTAACGGGCTCCCTTTCTCTACATCTTTTCAAGCAGAGACTAGATAACCATTTGTTGTGGGTGCTTCCGAAGATAGATAAATTGCCTTTTCCATTTCTATAAAATTATTACCTAATTCATTGAAAATTTTGTTTAGTTGTGAGCCTCTGAATCGGTTTTAATAAAATAAAATATATGTTTATAGCTCCATCTAGCGGTGAGCAATTTCCTTAGTATATCTGCATCTTAAGTTGAACCCTAAGTTTCCTTCCATTTACCTGTTATTGTAGGGCAGAAGGGGAAATGCTGTCTTTGAGTTACATGTAAAAATTGAAATAATCAGGAAAAGAAGGTTGCTTCTGATATTTATAATGGCTGAATTATCCTTAAGGCACACTGATAAACATTATTTATAATTAAATCTGTTCTTTAATAACTGAATTCCAGCTAGTACCCCACATTTATTTAGTAGGAACTATAAACATTGTGCTGGATAGAAGTAACATCCAATGCCTGACATGTTTGAGCATTAGAATAGGCCTTTTAGATGATGTTGATGTCTGTCTTGGTCCAGCATTTTGCTTGTCACTATGGCCAACCACAGGATAGATGGAAATGCTATTCTGGATACAATAGAAGGTATAGGTTTCATCAGTTATCCCATGTATACAAGTAGTCCTTGGCTTACAACCTTAATGGAGCTTGCGCATTGTGGTCCTAAGTCGTGACAATCGTGAAGGAGGTCATTCATATGAGCAACCAAATTTTATGACCTATTTTGCAGTGATTGTTAAGCAAATGTGGTCATAAAATGGTTGTAAAATGAATGCCATGGTGTAAAGTGAACCCATTGTTTGCTATGGATCAGTTTTGCCAAAACCCAGGAATAAATGCCTGTTTTTGGCAAAACCATCATAAAATGTGGTAACGTGACTATAGGATGATTAAACAGCCAGAAATGTGGGTCTGTTGTTGAGTGCCACACATGCAGTCTCATCAGAGTGGTAAAGGAGGCATCAGACTTTCAGAACCAGGTTACAAGTACCCCTTTGGAAGTCCACTATAACTTCAAACAGCCACTCAGCAATTAGTTGTAAGTTAAGGACTACCCATATATAAAAGTGATTGAGATTTTAAGTGTTAGCCTATAAATTTTTCAGAAATTTCCCAGGGATCAAACTAAAGCATCTCTGTTTTGCAGCTTTCTGGGAGTTGAAGCTCACATATCTAGCTGGCTGGGAAAGCAGGTCTAGGTGGTGAAATTCAATTTTTTTACTAACGGTTCTGTGGGCGTGGCTTGGTGGCAGTGGTGGGTTCCGGATTCCATTGCAACCGGTACGCTGCAATGGGGCCAGGCGTCCAGTACCTGCACGTGTGCAGCGCACGCATGCATACTCACCACCCGCGATGCTCCAGCTGCTTGGCGGAGCGTCGCACAGGCGCTATACGTTCCGTGTGTGTGTGCAAATGCCCCGGTCAGATCAAATAGAGGTAAGGAGAGCAAGCGGGTGGGTGGACTCTCAGGAGTACTGTTCTGGAATGGTACCTTGTGCTTCCAGCAGTCACCGGTACGCCTGTCCCAGGGCGTATCGGTCGTATCCCACCACTGCTTGGTGGGTGTGGCAGGGGAAGGATACTGCAAAATCTCTATTCCCACCCCACTCCACGGGAAGGATATTGCAAAATCTCCATTCCCACCCCACTCTGGGGCCAGCCAGAGGTGGTAGTTGCCGGTTCTCAGAACTACTCAAACTTTCTGCTACTGGTTCTCCAGAACCTGTCAGAACCTGCTGAGTTTCACCCCTGTCTAGGAAATAGAACACTTAT